GCTGTCTACGCTCTCTACAAACACACAAGGCAAGACCCGCGTGGCTGGTGAGGAACCCAACGGCCTTGCCCGCCTTCAGCCGGTTCGGTGCGGACCCGGTCTGGACAGGCGCATGGTCCTTACCCGCTGACCAGCGAGGGCGGCTGGTGCTGGGCGCACCGCTGGGGAGTGAAGCTTTCGTGCGACCAGCTGCGCAGCCGTCTCCCTGCTGTCGGCGATCTGCAGTCTGCGTGGCTCCTCCTGCTGTTTTGTGCCTCGCCGCACGCAGACTATCTGCTTCGGATGCTGCCGCCGCGATGCAAGCCTTCGCACACGAGCATGCCGCCGTCCGTGCATGCCTTGCGGCCCTGCTATTCAAAGCACCCGACACACTGCCCGAGGCCCCGGAGCGCCTCGCGCATCTCCCTTTGCGATTCGGTGGCCCTGGGTTTGCTCACGAAAGCAGGCAACTTCCGGAGTGCTCGCCCCCCTCGGGCTGCTGCGAGGGTCTGCCCAGAAGCCGGCGCGCGTGTTGCCCGTAATGTCCGCGATGCCCCGATCTGGCGCCGAGGCAGCCACCTGCACTGTGCCACTACGAGCGGCAGTGCGCGCAGCGTTGGCGCGGCAGCTCCCCGTAAGGCAGCCTCGCATCACTGGCAGCGCGTCCGCCCGCGCTGCCCAGTACGCCACCGAGGCCGTGCGCATCCGTGTGTTGGCAGCGTGGCGATCGGCCAGGCGTGAGCTGCTTCGGCGAATGGCATAAAGCCCAAGCAGGCCTGCAGCGTTTCCCAGATGGCTTCGTCATGTGCGGCGGCATACTTTCGGGAGTCGGGAGCAGAAGTGGCGGACTGGCTTCCTGCCTGCAAGGGGCAGCTGCAGTGCGAAACCTAGGATGGCATAGCTGCCCCACGGCCCACCCGCCATGCCCAACTGACGCCCCGGGAGACTTGCCGCACGGTTGGCCACATCATGCGACGCGGATGCGGAACCTTTACTGTCATCGCGATCGCGTGTTGTTGCCGGCCCTGCAACCGGCTTCTACGGCACTGCTGCGCTCGCAAGGCGGTCCGCATGGTGGGGCTTGGCTGGCACCTCAGGCCATGCAGCTAGCACGACAGCGCCGACCGCGCTTGCCTTTGCCTCTGTGCCCCAACCGCTGCGGACCGAGACCGGGTTGCGGCCAGCGGGTAGACGTTTATGGCGACCATGCCCTCGCCTGCCCGCGAACAGGGTTGCTGGCACGCCGTGCAATAATCGTTGAGCGCGCATGGGTGCGTGTGGCCCGCGAGGCTGTAAAGGGCCCGTAGGGCAAGTCGTCCCTCAGCATCCTTCAGCAATGGCTGGCGCACACCACAGCGCCGGGCGTGCCGTCCGATAACCATCGACAGCTCGACCTGGGGCGCGATGTGCTGCGACGCAACCCTCGGAGGTTGGCGGCCGTGGAGTGCCGAGGTCCAGCGCTTGTTGCGCGACCTGCTCCGGGCTTGGTCGCAAAGAGCGCTCAAGCCGCTTGCCGCTGCGCGCGTGAGCCACGGGCCGGCGGACGTAGCTGTAGGGCCGTAGGTAGTTTTAGCCTGTCGCCAGCTACGCGGGGGACAGCAGCCACGCAGGCGAGACTCGTGGAGAAAAAAGTGTTTTTTGCCAAGGTGTGCCTGCCCCGTGCGTCCATGGGCTGGCCGCAAAACGGCACTCGGTGACCTTTCGTCACTTGCTTTGTCGAGCAATCCCACGTCGCAGCCCGAGCGAACAGCAACAATGCCGGCTTCCGTCAGTCGGCGCTGGGTGGGGCGGCCCAAACACAGGATAAATGACACAATGGAGGAAAACAGGGATGTGCGCCGCAGGTGAGGTTCCGGAGCTGCACGAACTCCGTGCAGACGCACGAGAAGCCTGCTGCCCGCCACTCCTTGGCTGCCTGCCGCCTTTGGTTTGCCGCCGTGCAACGGGTTTGTCGCCCTTCTAGTCGTAGTAGCGCGAAAAACGACGGACACCGTCTCGTGCTGCAGGTGCGTGAAATAAATACTCCTTTGATGGTAGTATGTTTTCATATAACAACTCCATGGTGTTATATTTTTTTGCGGAACACACACCTGAACTCTCAAAACATTGCTTCAACATTTGGAGCAGGCTTTGCTGTATTTGCAATTGAGCGCAAACATCGAGCAGCTTAGCCAGGACAGTGATCCGGCTCTTTTGGATTCCTATGTCAACTTGAAGTCGTTGGTGCCGGACGTCGATGAAGCGATTGACGAGGCGGGTCAAGGTGGGTGTGTTGCAGAAACAGTTTACCCAACAGACACGTTGGATGTTGCAGGATTCAGAAGTGCCACGCCTACCACCGGCTTGCGTGCAAGGTGTTTGTTTGTTGAACGTGCTTGTCCTTCCGGTGCAATTGCTGTAACTTGTAACGATGACGGTTCTGGCCTTAGCCAGGCTTCTTGTCGAATGGCCTTACGTATTTCGTTATGCAGAGTCTTGGCAGAGCTTTCCCGGATTTCCCGTCAGTTGAGAAAGAACGATCGCATGTATGAAACCTGGCGAAGGAACCATGAACCCAAGTCACGCGCGGAACTCTTCTTGGTTGTCGGTTTCGGGTCGTTGGTGGAAGATGACGAGGCCCGCAGAGCACAGCAGCAATTTGCAGTTGTTCTGAAAGCATGGGCGCTGCAGCGCTCGTTGTTTAGTTGCATCGATGGGCTTTCATGGGCTTTCATCGTATGCCTGGAGAGACCGCCGAGACAGAGATGAGTTCAGCATTGACCCTTGATGCTGCAAGCAGGGTGTTGGCGGGCCGGCCGAAATACTGGCATGTGATGAGGTTGCGTAGACTTGTGGAAGTCATCACCGCCAGGAGCGTGGCATCGCCCACATCATCGAGCACTTGGGGTGTTTGTCCCAACCTTCCAGATATTTGGAAGACATTCGTTGGGTTTGAAAATGATGTCCATCATGAAGAAAAGTGTTTTCGCGCAGGTTTTCCGCCACCAAAGCATACGAAAACCATGCCATCGTGAAGTTCTTGGAATCCATTGGGGCACCCTTCGGTGCATGTCAGATGCGTGCTTCAATTCGATTGTGCGTTACGTTGGTATCGTTCTGAAGATCAATTCTTTTGGAAATGCGGCTCTGCCCCAGCATGTTGCTCAGGAATGCATACACCAGTTTTGACCGGACGGTGTGCCTTGTTGTGAAACCGTTCAGAATGCCCGCACCATGCCAACCAGAAAAAGGAACCGCTGGGTGTCTCAACTTCGCCAAGGTACACGCTGCACGTGCCCACCGACAAAGACGGTGTACTGGAAGAGTCCCTGAAGCTCGATGCGCACCTCGTGTATGCACACTGTTGCTGTCCCTTCACCCAGCATGTTTGGCAGACAGCCTGTTCTACTGAGTGTCTGTTGAGCGTAACTGCTTGATTCGTTTCCTTTTGTGACCTCGAGCCGAGTGGGATAGTGCCCGTGAGTGTCTTTTTTGGCAGTGTCCCGTCGCCATGACGAGCTCGGATTCTAGCTCTGAGAGCTCGTATGGGGAAAGTTCGAGCTCACTTTCAGAGCCGACACCCCTCAGGAAGCGAGAGAAGAGGTCGAAAGCCTCGAAGAAGTCCAGAAAGGACAAGAAGAAGAGATCGAGCAAGAGGAAGCATGGGAAACATGCGAAAGCCAAAAAGTCCAAGAAGGACAAAAAGAAGAAAGACAAGAAGTCAGAGGACGAGCCGCTTTGGAAAAAGGAGCCTGTAAAGAGATGGCAAAGCTGGCAGTGGAGAAGCCAGAGTTCCGGCTCCGACTGGAAGAAGAAGTCCGATGAGGACGGCTCTTGGAAGGCTGATGACTGGAAGAGCCAGCGAGGATGGAACAGCGGTGGAAGCTGGAAACAGTCCAATTGGAATTGCAAAAGGGGGTACGGAGCTCCGAAAGGACAAGCCCCGAAGGTAAAGGCTCGCCCGAGCACCAAAGATGATGATATGGAAGCTGATTGGGACTACTGGTCCATTGCCATCGAAAATTGCAAAAATGATGGTCACAGAGTTGCTAGCCCAGCGGAAGCAAGGGATACTGGCGCAGCCATCGTGCTGGATGATGCCTACGACGATGATGTGTGCGAACGCATCTTGGGGGAGCTGGAAACGGCGTACCAGGATACTGTGCCTGGGTCGTTGCTTAAGAAGTTGAGTGAGGCATTGGTCAAGAGCCAGCGAGCATGGCCTGACATTGAAAACAGCCTCCTCATGGAAGGAGGCGGCTGGTCAGCGCTGGTGGTGCCAGTGTTTGATGGGCAGGGACCGACAAGAAAGCCCTTGACCTCTGAGTTCCACAGGGACGTGCCGGAACAGGATGCCTATCCGTACAGCTTCGCTCATGGCACGTCCTTTGGCTCGCTGCCATACATCATGGCGGAGGGAATGATCCGACCTCAGAATTGGTCGGTGCTCCCGTCGCTCGGCTTCTTTGGGATTGCCTGCATGGGCTGGCTGGAGAACGACAAAGACTCGGAAGTGCTCAAGCAACTTTTGAACAACGCTCTTTCCATCGGAAAGGGGCAACAAGATGCACTCGTGTTAGGACAAGTGCGGGCGATTGACAAACACGTCGTACTGAGTGCTGGAGGCAACCAAAGGTTGCAAGTGTCCTCGCGAAAAGCTGGACTCGCCCGAGGAACAGACGCATGGTGTATTCGCACCGATGTTGCCCACATCGCGGGTGTCGCGATCACTTTCCCCTCCTGAGAGCCGCAACTTCACAAGCAAAACTGTGAAGCGTAAACATCTCTTCCTGAAAAGAAGTGCTGTGTGTGGTCCATAGTTTTGCGCAGGTGAGGCCGGAGGGCAGGTTGGGTGTGCCCCCCCTTTGCGCGGGAGTCCATTGCGCTTGCGTGAATGATTTTTGTTGGAACAGAGTTGAAACATGGAAGCGGGCCAGGACCTTAAGCTGAAAGCTGATTGCATTTGAGACTACACGACACGCAGCCGTGATCACAGCCCACATGTTATCCCACCTGAGCTTTCTTTTGAAGTGTTGTTCACAGTCACTTAAAGAGTTTTCTGTAGTCTTGGTTGCGGGCATGAGCGGCCGCGACCCCAGTTTTGTGGAAAATGAGCTCTTCATGCGGAGCCAGACACGCGCCAAGTCTACGCATCCGCGCCAGCCGTGGGAGCAGCCAGGGCTGTTGTGTGTCTTTAACCCTGTCCACCGTCACAACTGAGCGTCCCGTATCAGGGACAACAGGCCAGATCGACCAGCACAGTGCCGCGTCCTCAGCGACAGGTGCATGACTCTGCAGCTCAACCTGTCGCGCACTGTCAAGCTTGGACACGGGCCGTCAAAGCCAAGCGGGGCCCAGGCTCAGCTGACAAGCGCAATGAAGCTTTTCATAAGATTTTGTCGTTGCTCCATGCTTTTTCGACTTTCTTTGACTTGGCTTCGTTGCTTGAAGATGACGAGAATGAAGGAGACTCCTTGCCCCGTGCGTACGTTCTGCGAGTGGCTGGTCAAATCGAACAGTTCCCCGCCGTTTGGGGAAAAGGTGGTCTGGACTTTTGTTCAGTGTGTTTTGAAGATGCCCCGGACCGCGGCCTCGACCTTGGACACTTGCTTGGGGGCCATTAAGTGGAGTTATCATTCGCTGGGATTGCGCGTGCAGCTGGAGGTCTTCCGAAGTGCTAGGGTGAGTGGCTTAGTTACACAAGCCCTCCAGGACAAGAGTCCGTGGGACCCGGCCCCTCCACTGACGGTGGCGGAGGTGTTACAGTTGCATTCCATCGCACACGACAGAAAGATGTCCCTCATAGACAGATGTGGGGCAGCTCATTTTCTGGCGATGATCTATGGCCGAGCCCGAGCCTCGGATATCCGCTGCGTTAAACCGCTGATCGTGGATAGATGTGGGTCTGAGTCCTGGCGCCGCAGCTTTATAGAACTTGGCATCCTACACCACAAAACTTCTAGGTTCTCGATGCGCAGCGCAGAAGGATCTTGCCGTTGGTGATACCAGGAATTGGCATCGGCCAGGCCCCGTTCGGGCAATTGCTCCTCGATATCCGGAACGAGGCGGGGCTCAGGAATGATGAAGTGGACAAGCCGTTCTTGCCGGCACCGCTTCCAAATGGGGAGTGGTCGTCTGATCCTCTGTCTTCGAGCGAGATCACCCGTTGGCTGCGATTTTTGCTCCCTCGCCCGTCTTCGGAGAAGCAACTTTCGAGCCATTCGCTCAAAGTGACCACCTTAGTTTGGTGCAGCCGATTCGGGATAACTCGTGAAACGAAGAGGGTTTTAGGACACCGCGCGGATGCAGCGTCTGGGTCTGATGCCGTGTATGGCAGGGAACTGCAGAGTGCGGCGTTGAGGGAGTATATTCTTATACTTGAAGCTATTGCTGCTGGCCAGTTTTGGCCAGACCGCACCAGAAGTGGACACTTTGCCCCTGGATGGAGCCGAGAAGCAATTCTCAAAGCAACGGCCGCCGCCCCGGCCGCGATGGTACAGTCGACCGACATCGCAGAGGATGAGGACGAAGCTTTAGCCGTGGTTTCAGATGACTCTGATTCGGATGCGGATGATACGGACATGCCCCTTTACTGGGCTCATCCTACGAGCCAGATTTTGCATAGGACCACCTTCGGTTCTGCTATGTTCTTGTGCGGTCGTGCATTTGGGGACCATTATAGGCGCATCCCCATTGCTAGGGCGCAAACTTATCCTCTTTGTTCCAAATGTTTTGCAAAGGGCAGCTTCGAGTGATGAGACTCGGTGGCTTCCAGAGTAGGAAAAGGCTACGTATGAGGGCACATCGGTCGCACAGCCGCGCATGTGGAAGTTCATACGGCTGCGTTGCCGCATGCATTGCAATGCTTCTAGTGTTGATTTGTTTGAGTGGGGTTGGTTCAAGGCGATTTTGCACAGCCATGACGAGCCCTGTTGATTCTGCTCCCTACTTTATCCAACGCGCTGAGGAGATCTCCCTCGGGCGCAGGGTTAGCGATGCCCTTA